ATATATATATTACTGTATTCTGTTAACTCTACGTGGGGGTAATACCTGTAATGACAGCATTCAGTATATCAATAACTTTTTTTAATCTTATGTCCCGATTTATGATTTTCCTAACCTTTACATGCAGACCAAGCCGGCCAGGATAAATGACAGATGAACTATAATGACAGCGGTGTTTGCAGCATAGTCCCACCTAAAATCTAAAATTTGTCTACCAAAGATTAACATTTTATCTGGCAAAATTGTTTGAAAAATAAAAAAGGTTGTCCGGGTCCGGGCCCGCTCTGAGGGCACATTCACACCAAGATCATCTCCAGACCAGACCAGGTTGTTTCCGGACCCTAAATCCTAATGTATCCCTATGCTATTTCTGGCCTCTGTTCACACCAGTGCAGTCCATTCCAGACCAGAAAAATACTGCAGGTCTCATTTTGTCTGGTCTGGAATGCACTGGAAGGCATAGAAACACACCATAAACACATGGAACGCACCTGGGAGCCCATTTTAAGCGCACACACACGGAAAAAAAAAACCCATCTCAGGAACGCAGCAAAAAAATCGCGGTAAAATGGCGGCAGACGCGATGCACTGCATTCCAGACCTGGTCTGGGTATTGGTGTTAACCCAGCCTAAAATTTAAAGCGAACTTGGCGGGTGCACAGAAATAGGTGCTACCAGCCATTTACCAAAATAAAAACTAAAAAAAGGGAGACCACGATGCATCTTTTATAAAAGACCGATGACATGCAAAGGACATGCAAGGCATGCAAGGACATGTAGCCCTTACATGTGTATACACCTAATAAAATAAAAGACATGAAGTCATAATTTGCGAAAAGGCGATCTCGGTCTTTCTAACAGCAGGAAGAGACCGCAGGGTAGTTCTGACATAAAGACCGGCGCAATGACCAGTAAAATGTTCCCCCTGTTATAACAGTCACCTCGGAGCAGCTGCCAGCGACAGTTGCTGATAAGCAGGCAATGAAGTGAAATTAGCAGCATATGTTGCTTGTGGAGTGTCAGTATGAATGGAACCAATCTGCTGCCGTCACATGAGCAGAGAGATCTCTCTCCGAGCCGGGGCCTTCCAGCTCATCAGCCCCGGACAAAATGTAAACCTCTCCAAAGCCTCCTCCAGCTGAGCACCGACGCTGCCGCTACACGAGCTTACCAACCGGCATGGCTTCCCGACTGCAACCTGTCCAATTCCATTTTCTGCCACTGGCACACTGGAGAGGGCAAAACAAAAATGTTGCTGATGCGAGACGACTGGGGGGAAATTTGATCAGTTTGGGGCAGATTGCTAAAAAAAAAAAAAAAGCAAACAAACGCAAAAAAAATCCCGGCCTTCCAGAATTTGCCATCACGTTTATTAATAACTCTGCAGCAACTGGAGAGTAATGCAAAATGAGGATTGCGGACTAAAATATTCCTTTCCCGGAAGTTGAAAGTGGAGTTGGATGAGTAAGCAGATGTATATCTGTGGGATGCGCTGAGAAGATCAACGATTAGTCATGTGAGGGCAGCAAAGGGTATTAATGATGACAAATGGCAAACGTAACCGCAGTTGTATAATGAATGTGAACATTGATACTGGGACACATTGGACTATTGGGTATCACAATGAAGGAGGGCATAAGCTGGGGGAATGCCGTTCTCACAGCATTCCCACCACTAGATGGAGCAAAGGCGCATAGCAGATTCCTATGCTCCTCCAGGTCACTCTGCGCTGGTCCCTCCGAATATCCAGTGGAGGAATGCGCTAGGGCTGCAACCAACTAGTTGTCAGCTATTCTCATTATTGTTTAGTTGGTCGGATCCGCTAGCTCTCTCCTCCACGCTGGGAGGAGGGCACAGCAAACGGTGGTTGGGAACAATAACCGGCCTGCTATTGGCTATTTGCAATGTGAAATGACCAAGAGCAGGCTGGTTATTACACCAGCCCACTACCTGCTGTATTTACATTCAGCTGCCGTCTGCACAGGTTCTCAGCGGTGGCACCAACCAAACACGGTCTTCATCCTACTTACTGCTTGGACTGGTGCTTTCCAATCCATTTACAGACACTGCCCTAACCAACACCAAGAATCGGATTAGCATACCGCAAGCTGGCCTCGTATATGTGTATATATATATATATATATATATATATTTCCCTAGCGAGAGCCACAATATCAGAACATCTGCTCTAAAAAGCTGGTGAGTATTTTGTTCCTATGGCAGAGGACAGAGGATGTCCACAGCTGAAGTTAATCCAAGTATCATGTCGCTGGGCTGCATGACTTCATTAGGGCTCTCACCTGTTCCCGGCATTTACCACCCATGTCAGCAGTATAGAGCGCTCTATTAATACACACGAGCACATATTCATTGTATTTGTCTGGCTGAGAGGCGTAAAAAGCGCCCGAAATAAGAACCATTTGCGATGATCTTTCGTAACCAAAGTTCTAATCTAATGTGCTTAACCTGTATAAAAAAAAATGAATGCATTAGTATGTAGTTCCCTGTAACCTCGGAGCCATAAGAGTTCAACATGAAGCGCTGCCTTCCGTCTCCGGAGATCTGGCACCCCCCGCACCCTAAGGGAGGATACCCTTTTAATAGGTTAGCAAGGCTCTTTATTTAAAATGGATGTCAAAGGGGTCATAAAAACGGACGGCTGATCCCCATTTTGCTACATTACCACAATAAATGCTAAATCATTTATAAAATGTGGAAATGGACCTTAAAAGG